TAAAATATATTTAATTTAAGTCAAATGAATAAATGTATATTAGCCATGAGTTTAAAAAATAGCTCAATTGTCCAGATGTATTCAACCTGGCTTACTCAAATTAGCTCCCCTATTTTACTGTCACCTGGGAATTGACTATGCAGGTCCACTACCTCCTTGAAATTTTTGCATCAGTAAAAAATTTTACATTATCCTGGTAAGAATGTGGATAGAATAGAAAAATCTAAAATATTTTAAAATAATGTCCAATATATGGTTATTTTTCTGTAGGCAATTAAGGTCTCAGAGAATAGTGAGTACATGAATTGCAAAGGAAGTTAGGTAGAGAACTAAGAGGAGGAAGGAGTTAAAGAAGCAGGCTTAGTTAATTGAGCACTTGCTATATTCAAGCACTGGATTAGGGTTCTTTCCAAATATGAGATTAATAATCAGTTTTAAACTTTAAATGGCTATTCAGAGAAGTAAAAGGCAAATCTCTTGGAATATTTACCTTTAAAATATTATTTTATGATGGTCATTGGAATTGCATTTGCAAACACACACATACATCAATTTAGATCTTTCCTAGATGAGAGAGTAACAGAGGTAAAAGGAACATTACAAACAGCAAGGTCCAGAGAGGTTAAGTGGTTTTCTCAAATTATAGTTTTCTGGACCAATAACCCAGCCTAGCATCACTCATATTTCTGATTTAGCAGGCAAAGTCTCATTTATGTTCTTGTTGCATTGCGTGTGTGCTCAATTGTGTTTGACTCTTTGCGACCCCATGGACTGTAGCCCACAAGGCTTCTCTGTCCATGGAATTTTCCAGGCAAGAATATTGGAGTGGTTCATTTATGCTATAAACTGCTTTATATAATGCTTATGGATATGAATTCATTCAATATGAATTACTGAGAGGAAGAAGACTTTTGGTAGTAGTGGAGCTTACCCATTTGTAAAATGTTACAAAATCTCTAGATGAGAGACACCAGGAAAAAAAAATACCATCTTAATTGACTGATGTTTGTGATATTAAAAAAAGTGCAGTTAGGGAGGAAAGAAAGATATTTCTCACAAGCATAGTTTGGGAGAAACTTGCTTTATATTCTGCTTGCACTTTATATTCTTCTTAAAACTAATTATTCTTCCTATTAGAAACAGGTAGTATGTTAATATTTGAAAAGAATGTCAACATGTTCCAAGTTCTTAATCTTTCTTGTACTGTTACTTCTTTGGGGGTGGTAGAATGCAGTAAGAATAGAAAGACCTTAAAATGTCTTTCTTTTGCATTCAGGCAGCAAACTGACCAATGAAATAAGTATATCACCTCCAGTGGGTAACAAGAAGCTGGAACTCATTACATTTAAAAAAATATTTTGCATGTTCTCTAATGCAATCTGTTTATTCATTCAACAAATATTTGTTGAGACCCTCCTGTATATTAGGCACTGGATTTATTTTTTAGATCCTAAAGTTTATTGTGTTTAAAAGCTTGATTATAGTTAATGTATTAAGAAATTCCCTTAAACGAGATCAGAGTTTAAGGGCACTCAAAGATAGGATAAAGCATAAAGTCATAAAGTAAGGATCTAAGCCTTGTTTTTGTAATTAAGTCATACAAAGACATTTTATGGATGATTACCTTAAGACTCATCAAATCTAGTTTAAAAATAGGTAGGCAAAAAGATCTCAAAAGTATAGTTTCCAATTCTTTTCATATTTAACCCCCAACTGAAGGCAGGAATTTAAAGGCTCAGCAAATAATTTCTAAATATTTGGTTAATTTATACCTCTTATGCTCTGAGATTTCTAAGCCCTCACAACAGAAGGCATTTCTACACATTCTGGGATTATCAGAATTTATGTAGTAAATATATAATTTTTAAGTGGATAGTGGTTTCTTATTTAGATAATTCTTTTCAGTTTGTACTTCATGTTCTCAAATTTATGGCTGTCATAAACTATGACTGTCTTTTTTTCCCAGATATGCCCTACTCCTGGATTTGGAGAATTAAGTACATGTTCTTATTAATAGGGCCTATAATAATTAATATTTATATTTCTTTACTAGTAAGGCCTATAGTGAATAATATTTAAATATTTATATAATTGAAAGTAAAAGATTTTTGATATTTTTAAATAAAACTTTTTGAGTGGACTATTTTTTTTTTTTAATATTCAGTTTACCTCCTGGCAAGTTTGTTTTTATAACCAGCAGTTTTGCCAAATCTTTATCTTTCACCATGAGATATCCTTACAAAGTATTGCAATCCACAGGATTTATTAAAGAAGTAGCAGAGAAATAGTCACCATCTTGAGGGTTGCATTTCACTTAAAATGTAGTGAAAGCCTACTTCCTTCTGCTAATGCTCAACTCCTAAGATATCAAACCAGAAAGAATTCTAACAAGTTCCATGTTTTATTGACCATATGTAAATATATTTTTTTAAGTCAAAGTGCTTCCACATAGAGTATAACATTCTACAACTCCTAATAATACCAATAAGATATTCACATTTTTAGAACTGAAATGTACTTCAGTGATAAGGTAAGAATATGATGAAAAAGAACACAGAACTGAAGGAGATAGTACTTTGAAATTCTAATCTTGGCTATGTCAATATAGCTGTGGGGTGTTTGTGTGTGTGTAAGTGTGTGTGTGTGTATGTGTGTGTAGTATGTGAACATATGTCTTAGATAAATATTATCTTTGAATCTAGTTACCTCATAAGTAGAATGAAGGGATTTGCTTGTAAACATTGCTCTAATTTCTTCTAGTCCTAAAACCCACTGATGAATGAACATAGAACTGAAGTTGACTCATTCATTTTTGGCACTTCAAATTAAGAAAACTTATTCTTTGGAAATTTGATAATGGATTTTTAATATACAGATGTGCTAGTTAGTCACTTAGTATTATTGCCTTAGCTTGAGCCATATTATCAGAATATAATTATAGTCTCAGACTGAGAAAGAGACCAAACTCATAGTTGACAGTAAGTAATTATTAGTAATGCATTCTTTTTAGATCCCTACAATTTTTAGTAGGTCAAAAATATAATAATGTAAACATAAATGTTTGAATGTATTTGAACATGATGAAATAAATGAGGGTGGAAATCTTTCCTTATCTAGGAGGGCATCTACACAGACATGCCATTTCTGGATGCTATCCAATGATAAGAGATAATATGACAGGCATCTTCCATTGGGTCAAATGAATAAACAAAGTTTGTGGCTCAGAAACTGGTCAAATAGCTAGTCAGTTGGAGAAATTTATTATCTTATTTTCATTAAATCAGCAGTGACTCATATAAACTGCATTGAGAGTAACATGTGCCTAAACATAGACTCAAAGGAAGTTTTCCTTATCTCTTGACTTAATGGCAAGTTCCTTTAAGGCAGTGATGGTACCTTGTTCATCTTTATCTCTGGTTAGGGCCTTGCCTGACACAGGGAGCCTGTTCAATCATGGGTAAAGGAATGAACCTGAAGATCAAACAGGTCTTCAACCAATGCAGTAATTTTCCTCTGTTCAAATCCTTCTAGTAATACTGAGAGCTCATTTCCTCACAAGCCAGACTATATTGTTGGACATAAACTCCTACTTTCTGAATTCAAATTTGCCTCTCTGTCTAGCTTCCATTTGATGTAGAAAATTATGGATTTGAGTTCTACTGATATAGAGGACTATTAGAATAAGTCACAAATAGACTCAAATAGATGTCATCAGTACATTCTAACAGTTTTGATGGGTTTTTGATCCGACCGGAATAAAGTCATTAAAGATTCTTTTGGGAAATGCTTTCTTTGAGAATTCTTAGAGTCCCATCTTTTCACATCTACTGTTCTCTGCTTATATCCAGTCCTTAACCTTATGGAGGAGAAACACTGTACAGCAACGGCAATTTCAGGGGTGAATTCTCTAAAAACTTAGTGTAATGAAAGTTTATTCTGGTTCTGTAAAACCCTGAGGGTGATGGTCATATTGTCATTTATGGATAATTACAAAAATGGATATAAAACATCATCTCAAGTTAGCAACTCTAGATTAGAGCTGTCTCTTTATTGGAATAAGCAAAGCTTTTCTGATGACATTAAGTGTCATCCATTTATTAATTCAACAAATATGCATTGAGGTCTCATTTTGTGTTAGCATATGTTCCCTACTGACTTCCACTTTATTATGTTTAACATTTTATACTTAACACCTTGATGATAATTTTATTTAGCCAAGTTGCTCAGTTGTGTACGACTCTTTGTGTCCCCAAGGACTATAGAGTCCATGGAATTCTCCAGGCCAGAATACTGGAGTGGGCAGCTTTTCCCGTCTCCAGGGGATCTTCCAAACCCAGGGATCAAACCCAGCTCTCCTTCATTGCAGGCAGATTCTTGACCATCTGAGCCACCAGGGAAGCCCTAATTTTATTTAGGCTCTTTTAAAATAATAGGACAAACATCTAAAATATTATGTCAATTTAGATGTCCATATGGTATAAGGAAAATGTTTTAGACATTGGGCATTTGGAAAAAATATTTTAAGTTGATATGTTAAAAACTGTACATAAATGTACCATTTATAAACATGACAGATCTACACTTACCCTTTTCCCTTGTCATTTGATGAGATTATTTGTTTTATTATAATAATGAGTGTTAAGATCAGGAAGAAAACTATCTTAGCTTTTCTTAAGTGTTACTAGGAATACTTCCTAGGCACCAAAAATCGCCCCAAATTGGATATTTAAAAATACTTAAGTAATTTAGCTTAATAACATGAGAACAAGTGACCGTATTTGCAAGTCAACTTAATGAAAATAAACGAGAAGCCTAACAACTTCCTGAATAGAACAGTTCTGCTCCACTCTCTGCTTATTCACTACATGAATAATTCTGCATTCACAAACATAACACACAGGTGGAAAACAGATCAAATAGAGAGAGCTATACATTGTTCAACTTCAAAGTCAAAGAGGCTAGAATTCAATTACAAATTGATTTTCCTTTGCTTCGTTATGTCAACTTGGAACTACAGATGATAATGTTTAATGAAAATATTTCATATTTGAAGATATGTGTCTTCATTTACCAAGTGGATGAAACAAATGTTCAGTGTAGGAGCAACAATCAAATCACAGTTACATTAGAGATAACAACAAAAATGTGAAAAAAGAGGTTTACAAATGATAGAGAATAATAAATTATTTTTCAGTGCACATAATTAGGTATATATAAGATAATTTAAAACCAAGTGGAGTGATTGCTGATGCTGCGCTCTTAAAAATCTCCATCAAAATATACATGTCACCCGAGAGAGTGATACAAATAAATTACGACACAAAAGCAGAATAATGTCTCTTCTCATTCTTAAAACCTGGATAATATCTCATCAAAATGATTTGCCAAATGTGCAAATGATGGCAAACTTTAATTCCAAAACCATTTCTCTAAATTACCAACGGATTTATACTCTTGATGCCTTTTCACATGGTCACAAGCCAAGCATGCATGTGATTCCCAAAATCGAGGAAGATTTACTGTGAAATCTCTCCTCCAGTTAAAGTAACTAAGGTATAATTTATTGTTTTTGTCTACTTCCTTCAGATACTTAGCTAGCTCACTGGGAGAGTTATAATCTTCCACATGAATGAATGAATCTGCTGGAATATAATTCTCATAGTTTTCCCTAGATGGCCCCAAAACAACAGGCACAGAGCCAGCCAGAAAAGCATTGTAGAGCTTTTCTGTGATGTAATCTTTGTGGATTGAGTTTTCAAAGGAAAGATAAAATTTGCAAGTAGATATGGTAGGAATCAAATTTTTATCAGTCACGTATTCTCCAAATGCTTGCCCATAGGTATGGATTTCAATGCTTTTGCTTAGCTCATTGTAATACTTGACCCTGGCATGCTCAGGGTTCCAGTTACTTACAACCCAGCACACTAACTTCTCTTTGCTTGGCACTTCAAACACGAAGGGGTTTGTGCTCACGGTCAAGAAACCATAAGGCACTTGGATATCTGAGTCGCGGCGATAAGTCAGCGTCAGGTTGAACAGGTGCTCTATGCCACTCTTCTGTGGTGTGTGAGTCGGTGATTCCAAATTCATCCAAATCCATTTCTGGAAGGGTGGCCTCGCCTGCTGAGGTAAATTGGTCAGATCCCAACTGATGTCTCGGTGGTGGATCAGAACTGCGTGAGACTTGTTGTACAGAGAACGGTCTGTCGTGAGATGGCATCCTTGGATGTTGAACATTGCTTGGCAAGATGTAAGGTCAAAGGTCTGCCCAAATGGCCACACCCAAATCAGAATAGTAGTTTCATTAAAATCACCAGTTTTGGTGGAGAAGAAATTTTTCATTTTCAGCACTGAGCTGGCGGACTCCATCGGGCTGAAGATCCAGCTGTTGGTGGGCTTGATGTAAATGAACAGACACACCATGAAGCAGGCCAGGATAATGCAGAAAATTAAAAATGGGCGGAGAATTCCTTTGGATGCTGAGGTCATAATTTTTTCTGTGAAACAGAAAGGGAAAGATAGAGGAGTAGGTAGAGGTAGGGATGAAGAGTTAATCACAAATACATTTTGAGATAAATAGGTGGTACATCCTAAAATATACTTAATCACAAAATCAACTACATTTTCTTTTCCAGTGTTACCAAAAATTAAACATGGTGTCTGCTCAATAAAATCAAGTTGCAAGCAGTACCTGTTTCCTAAAAGCTCACTCTCAACTAGGCTTGGTGCCAAGCACTTTGAACACATTACCCCTATCAATGAAGTCTTTTATCACTCTTCTCTGCAGAATGAGGAAACTGAGGGCCAAAAATAGGTAGCTTACCCATTGAATTATGCTGTTTCTTGCCTTCTAAAATCCTAACACGAGCATCAGTAATCCACTGAGGTGCAATTGGCACCTTAAGTTTAACTGTCTTGATTTCTCCAATCTCTGCCTTTAATATAAGTGAGGGCTTTCCTGGTGGCTCAGTGGTAAAGAATCTGCCCGTCAATGCAGGAGACATGGGTTCAATCCCTGGGACAGGAAGATGTCTTGGAGAAGGAAATGGCAACCAACTCTAGTATTCTTGCCTGGGAAATCCCATGGACAGAGGAGCCTGGTGGGCTATAGTTCACGGGGCTGCAAAGAGTTGGACACTATTTAATGACTAACACTACCCCCATTTACCCATAAGTTAAATTTTGATCAGTTTCCCTTAATAAGAACAATACCTGACACTTATCTGGGGCTCATTAGTGCCATGCATTAATATGAGGACTTGCATGAGCAATATATGTATTAATTTATATATTTACACAAATGTGTGTATCTCTTTGTAAGTATATGTACTAACTCATTATATTCTCATCTCATTCATGAAGAAACTGAGGTCCCAAATGGTTAAGAAACTCCAAAGTCACACATAGTCAGTGGCAGAGCATTCTTTTAAACCCAGGCTCTGGGTCCAGAGTCTGGGCACTTGATGACTCCATTTTTATAATCATTGATTCCGTAGGCTGCAGCTAGAGAATACAATCATCTTGATGATACCAGAACGTAAGCTTCATGAGAAGCTTTGTTTCTCACTGCTGTATCCTCATCAACAGGTTACACTAGGTGCTTAATAGATGCTTAGTAGATGCTATGAATACCACATAAATGAATGGGTGGATTGCTAAGTATCTTGGGTGGATTCTCAAGGTATAAGCATTGGTAACTACATAAATAAAAATAAACAAAGTACGAATGAATGAAATTATACTTAGTTGCTTTCTTGGTATACTTAACACATATCACTCTATAGAATGAAATGACTGACAGGTATTCTTACCAGTAGTTGAGCAAAATTTCCCAGTTTTGACTCTCTTTGTTGCATCCCAAAGTTGGCATATAGTACATTTTAATCCCACAACACTTTATTTGGCCAAATGGGAAAAACTGATTGCTAGGCAGACACAATATTTCTCCCATTATGTGCCTCTCAATTTCCTGATTCTTGGGCATTTTGAGTTTCTTGAGGTTCTTCTTGTTAACTCTGCATATTGTCTATCCTCTCAACTTTCCACTGCTATTGGGGTCAATTACTAAACAACAGAGCTGTTACTCAGTAACACCTTCTTTGTACAGAAGCTGTCAGAAAACTGCCTCTTGGAGCCAAATTGACTTTCCCTTGACAAGAACTTTTTCACCTATTCCTCATTACTAAAATTCAGTTGGACACCTAACATGTCTTGAATTTCTCATATAACCTATATTTAAAGGACTTGCAGTTTGTTACTATAGCTCTCACCAGAGACAGCAATACATAGAAACATAAAGCTAATTTTAACAATAAAGAGTATAAAGACTACAAAATTAAAAATAACGGAAACTTCAGTAAAAGTACTACTTGTAAGAATTGGCATGTGTATAATTGCATTCTCCATAAACAGACCTTTGGTCATACTTTAAGAATGATCTACTGAGCATTAAAGGATAGAAGAACTTGGAAAAGAAAAGGTTCAGGTTGTGATTTTCAAACCATAAGTATACTTCAAGGTATTAGGGACAGAAATGTGAAACTAAGAATAGAAGACTTCTTCAAGGTGTGGTAATTCCACTTTTGCATGTGTGTGTTTTGAACCTTAACTTTAAATGGAAACAAACAGGAATATACATGGAAAAGATATAATTTGAAAAGATACATGGAGCCCAGTATTCTTAGCACTATTCAAAATACCTGAGACATGGAAGTAATCTAAATGTCTGTTGAAAGATGAATGAACAAAGAAGATGTGACACATATATACAATGGAATATTGCACAGCTATAAAAAAGAAAGAAAGAATGCCATTTGTAGCAACGTGGTTAGACCTAGAAATTATCATACTAAGTGAAGTAAGTTAGACAAAGACAAATATCATATGGTACTATTTATGAATCTAAAAAAATGGTATAAAAATATCCTATTTACAAAATAAAAATAGACTCACAGAAATAGAAAACAAACTTATGTTTACCCAAGGTGAAAGGGAGGCAGGGATAAATTAAGAGATTTGGATTAACAAATAAACAATGCTATATATAAAATAGATGAACAACAAGGTTCTACTGTATACCACAGGGAACAATAACCTAAAATGGAAAATAATCTGAAAAAGAATTCACTTCAGTTCAGTTCAGTCGCTCAGTCATGTCCGACTGTTTGCAACCCCATGGACTACAGCATATCAGGCCTCCCTGTCCATCACCAACTCCTGGAGTTTACTCAAACTCACGGCCATTGAGTCAGTGATGCCACCCAACCATCTCATGCTGTGTTACCCCCTTCTCCTGCCTTCAAATTTTTCCAGCATCAGGGTCTTTTCAATTGAGTCAGTTCTTTCCATTAGGTGGCCAAGAATTGGAGTTTCAGCTTCAGCATCACTCCTTCCAATGAATATTCAGGATTGATTTCCTTTAGGATGGACTGGTTGGATCTCCTTGCAGTCAAAGGGACTCTCAAGAGTCTTCTCTAACACCACAGTTCAAAAGCATCAATTCTTTGGCTCTCAGCTTTATTTATAGTCTGACTCTCACATCCATATATGACCACTGGAAAAACCATAGCTTTGATTAGATGGACTTTTGTTGGCAAAGTAATGTCTCTGCTTTTTAAATGCTGTCTAGATTTGTCATAACTTTCCTTCCAAGGAGTAAGCATCTTTTAATTTCATGGCTGCAGTCACCATCTGCAGTGATTTTGGAGCCCCCAAAAATAAAGTCTGACACTGTTTCCACTGTTTCCCCATCTATTTCCCATGAGGTGATGGGACCAGATGCCATGATCTTAGTTTTCTGAATGTT